GCCCAAGAGAGAGCAGCAGTCGCGAGGAGAGGTCAAGACCCAGGCGCCGACGGCGGGGGCCATGCTTGAGCAAAACAAACGTCCGAGAGGCGCACATGAGGGCAGATCACGGAAAACCCGCAGAAACAACGACGGAGCCGGCGCCGGCTGGGGATAAATATCTGCATGGACTACTTCGTACCACCAATGACCTACCGGGTGCTTCGTACAGTCAGCACCATCAGCCCTCCCCCTGATCCCCGCTGACGTGAATTTTCATTTGCCATGCTCTGCGAGGCTCCGTGTCGGTGCGGCACAGGGCGGTAACCGCAACCATGATGAAACGTCAACTCTGCTCGGGGAGGGGGAGGTTGCATGATCTGCCAGGCTAGAGTCTGTACTGTGTAGTGTAGAGTGAAGTCTGTTGAGCTGGCATTTTGTCCTTGTTAGTCGCTTGCCTCTGCGCTCCCACGTGGTTCCTTCACACCGAGAAGACCGGGCATGAACAAGCAATGAGCGAGGAAGAACCTTGCTCTCGCCAATGCTTAAAATGCCTGAACCGTTGAGTCCGGCACCACGGCACCAGCCATCCCTGTCTCCATGGCGAGTGGGTAAATGAGCATCGATGATCTGACCAATCCACGCTGCTTTTCTCCCCCAAGGGTTTGGCGGGAACTGGAGGCGCAGCGTGTTTAGCGGCTCTCGGCAATGACGTCTCAGGGGGTCAGCCGAGAGTTTTTCCTTTTTGTTGTCAAGAGGAAGTCTACGGCGGACCTCTAAATGGGTGTTTACTTGTAGCTATTCCCCCTGGATGCTCCAAATCAGCGACCGGCTTCCAAGATTCAGAATGCTCGTCGTCAGGAGAAGAGGCTTCCTCACTTTGTTTCCCGCCGCGGCGATCCTGCTGTTCTTGGTCTTTTATCTCCGCCCGGATGTCGTGACGCTACCACGGCTAGAGGATGGAGGGCGGCCCGGTGCTGGTCGGGAAGATTCCTTTTGGAGCAAGGTCCCCCTCCATTATCCGCCCGACTCTATCCGGCCGCTACCCACTGGGCTGCCGGTCCAATACCCCCCCATCCAGACCACCACATTCCCCGCAGAGGAGGACCAGGCCGCCCGCGGCCGGCGTGTGCAGCGCCAAAAGGCCGTCCGAGACGTCTTCGCCAAATGCTGGGCGTCGTACCGCAAGTTGGCATGGGGCGCCGACGAGCTGACCCCCGTGTCGGGCGGCCGCAAGGACCCCTTTGGAGGATGGTCCGCCACGCTGGTCGACTCGCTCGACACGCTGTGGATCATGGACATGAAGACCGAGTTCGACGAGGCCGTCGCGGCGGCCGACGGCATCAACTTCACCCACACGGCCGTGGACAGGGTCAACGTCTTCGAGACCAACATCCGCTACCTCGGCGGCTTCCTCGCGGCCTTTGACCTGAGCGGCGACAAGCGGCTGCTGGGCAAGGCCACCGAAGTCGGCGACATGCTGTACAAGGCCTTCGACACGCCCAGCCACATGCCCATTACTCGGTGGGACATGCGCGCCGCCATCAAGGGCGCTAAGCAGGTCGCCAGTGAAGGCCTCATCGCCGAAGTGGGCACCCTGTCCATGGAGTTTACGCGCCTCTCTATGTTGACGGGCGACCCCAAGTGGTTCGACCTGGCGCAGCGCATCACCGACGACATGGCCGCCCAGCAGGACTCGACCGCCGTGCCCGGTCTCTGGCCCCTGAAAGTGAATGGGCAGAAGAGGATCTTCAACTCAGGCCCGGACTTCACCCTGGGCGCCATGGCCGACTCGGCATATGAGTACTTGCCCAAGATGTCGGCCATGATGGGCGGGCAGCTGCCCATGTATCAGACCATGTACGAGAAAGCTATGGACGCGGCTACAAAGCACAACCTGTTCCGCCCCATGACGCCGACGAATGAGGACATTCTTATCGCGGGGGATGTCCACGCTAGGGAAAATGGCATGGAGTTTGAAGCGCGGGGCCAGCATCTCACCTGCTTCTTGGGGGGGCTGATGGCGCTGGGTGGGAGGCTCTATGGCCGTGAGAAGGATGTAATTGCGGGGAGGAAGTTGACTGACGGTTGCGTATGGACATACAAGGCGTTTCCCCAGGGTATCATGCCCGAGTCGTTCGTCACGGTCTCGTGCCCGGCAGGCGATGCGTGCGAGTGGGACGAGGGTGTCTGGAAGAAGGAGGTTCTCCGGAAGGCCAACAAAGACACCGACGGTCCAGAGAGCAACGCCGAAGCCGAGGTCATCATCAAGAAGCAACGGCTTCCCCAGGGGTTCACCGCCGTCTTTGACCGGGCGTACCTCCTGCGCCCGGAAGCCATCGAGAGCGTCTTTGTGCTGTACCGCGTCACTGGAAAGGTGGAGCTGCTGGAGGCGGCGTGGGACATGTTCACGGCCATCGACAAGGCGACAAGCACCGACCTGGCCAACTCGGCAATTCGCGACGTCACATCAACGGATAAGCCCGAGGCGAAGGACTCGATGGAGTCGTTCTGGATGGCCGAGACGCTGAAATACTTTTATCTCATTTTCAGCGATCCGGAGCTGATCAACCTCAACGAGTATGTGCTCAACACGGAGGCCCATCCCTTCCGGCGGTTGTTGCCCAGCCCATAGTGTTGCCGCAGCCCATAGATCTGTCGTACATAATATCATTGCCGGCTCTCCGGCTTGTTTTGCTTTGCACCATTCCACAGTGCTGTATGGTGTTGCAACCCTCCCATAATGCCGAGCGTAGATATCTCTACCACCACCACTCTTTACCCCCCCCCCCTCCCCCCACCTCTTCCCTTCTCGGTCCCATTTGTCGAGATTTCGCCCCAAAATGCTGTTCTCCCTCGCTAAGAACTGGGAGTTTCGGCACCCCGAGAAGGACGACTCCAAGTTTCCGCCTGTCAGCCAGTTCCCCAGCAATGTCCACCTAGACCTGCAACACCACCCCCTAATCCCGGACGCCTACATCGGAAAGAATGAACTCGCCCGGCAGTGGGGGGCGAGGAGAATGGACTTATCGCACCAACTTCGCCGCCCCAGCGGACCCCGAGGGTGCCCAGACGGTCTATAGCTGTTTCCCAAATTCGACACTCCTGCCGGGAGTACTCAATGCCAACTACCATTCTTGGAGTTGAAACATGTTCCTTCCCACATGGTCCACGCGACTACCAGGAGCACCAGCCGAACGAGCTTGCACATCACCTTTCGACAGCGTCTACGAACGGGGGTGCGATCAAGCCCAAGAAGCATCGGGTACCACAAGTGGGGGCTGCTTGAATTGGGGAATGTCTCTCGGCTGCCCGCACCGAAGGCCGATCCCACCTGCGTAGATCGGGCTGCCCCCCGTAATGAACAC